CATTATCTTCAAGAAGAGTACGACATTTTTTAATTTCGAAGACATGTTTCGATGTTACGAACATCATCGTCAGTTACAGAATATTTGAAAAACCGTTAGGACTATATAACAACTAGGCGAAACATGCATAATTAATTATGATTAAGTGACAAAAATTACATATTTGAGTGAGTAACAAAGTGTTGGAAAGAATATAAAACCTAAAGCGTAAGCGTCATGGTGAAGTGATGAACTTGTTGGTTTAAATTAGGCTTTTCCCAGTTTATGTGTATAGCCTCCTTAAGTTTAAGTTGAAATTTAGAAGGGGCGATATTTGAACACAGCCATCGACCAAAATGGCTCCACTCAAACACCTCTTTCCTCTAATATCACTTCACAGGGTAAACAACACTTTTATAAGTTACCTTATTTAGGCCGTTTTTCTACTATAGCTCAAAACAAATACGTCGCCTTGTTAGTCGTTTTCGTAATGATCTTGACATCAAATTAGTGTTTACCACGTTTAAATTAAGAAATCTTTTCTCTCTGGTAGAGAGTCGCTTGCCAGTAATGGTAAGAACTTTTGTCTTGCTCCCATTGAGAGGAAGTTTATCAGTAGCTGTTGCCCATTCGTCGACCTCAGAGATTGCTGTTGTCAGTGAACTTTGAAGAACATCAACGGAGTCAAAGTTAGCAGCAGAGGTTAACGTCGTGTCGTCTGCGTATAGGTCAATTTGAGCCGAGCTCACATGTAGCGGAAGATCGTTAATATAGGCATGAAAAGCAAGGGACCCAAAATTGAGCCCTGAGGTACGACATGACGAACACAAGCAGTAGGAGATTCTGTGTTACCCATAGATACCAACTGGCGCCTTTCATTCAGATATGATCGAAACCAGATTAACGATTTGTTGTCAAGCCCATATGCTTGAAGTTTTTGCAATAGAATCGAGTGATCAACCATGTCGAAAGCCTTGCAAAAATCAATTAAAATCATACCACTCACGCGATCATTGTCAAGGTTGAACAGCAGTTCGTCGATAATTCTAATAAGAGCAGTTTCAGTACTGTGACGCTTGCGAAAGCCAGACTGCTTAGAATAAATTAGATTAATGACACACAAATAACTATAAAGCGAGCCGTGTACATGCCTCTCGATTACCTTGGAAAGTTCTGACAACACTGACATCGGACGATAGTTGTTTACGTTTTCTTGACCCCCACCTTTAAATAACGGAGTGACTTTTGCAGTCTTCCAGCGCTGAGGAAAAAGTGATGTTATGAATAAATAATTAATTAGTTTAGCAATGGACGGAGCAATAATAGGAGCTGCTAATATCAGCATTCGCGCACTTATGTCATCAATACCACTGGCCTTGTTTGAGCTAATGTTCTTGAGACAATCAATGTTCTTGTTCTCTGTAATAGGTGGTATGGAGAAAGTGATGCTAGCGTCCTTTCTTGTGATGACAAAGTTTTGAAGTTTAGATATGTCAAAATCAAATTGAGGAAGTAGTGACCTAAGCTGATCTGCAATAGATGTAAAATGATTTTACATCTATTGCAGATCAGCTTAGGTCACTACTTCCTCAATGAAGCAATTTTTTCATCGTCCTCTAGGAGACACCCACCAACTTAAGGTTGTTTACACGCTTAGACTGTTTGCTCAATCCAGTAATTGACTTAATTGTTTTCCACATTTCTTTGGTATTGTTTTTATTATTCTCAAGTTTTGAGGCATAATACTTTCGTTTAGCACTCTTTAGCATACCGACGCGTCATGAGCGCGTCAATGTTGAAATCGCCCAGTAAGGTCATTTCTTTATTCAGGAGATAAGCCTGTTCAATGTTTGCCTCTAAGCGAGTATCGTCAGCCGAAGAGTACGAAGGCGGACGGTAAATTCCTGAAATAAACAGAGACCTTTTTGACTTGAAAGGGAAAATCTCCAGCCAAATAATCTCTAAGTGAGCATTCTCCAAGTAAGCCCTACGTTTCAAACGCAGATCTTGATTGACAAAGGCCAATACACCGCCACCACCTCTCGATATTCTGTCACAGCGATATATTATAAATCCAGGAACGGCATATAGTGAGTCAGGAATACCAGGTTTGAAGAATGTTTCGTTTAAGAAAAGCATGTCAACTTGAGGTCTACCAGACTCTCCGGCAAGGAAAAGCTTGATCTGATCAAACTTAGTTGAAGTTAAGCAATTAACGTTCCAGTGACCATTCCGCTCGTAATAAAACAACTATACATTTCGTGAGCTTGAGAACGTCTGTGGATATTCATTTTCAACTACATTCAATTACGGTCAAATCAGTTGACTGGCACTTACTTAGCAGGTGTCGTTACCTCCGATCGAAAACTTAAACATCATCGCCTGTAACTCCCGTGAGGCTTAGCGCTCACACTGTGTGTGTGGTAATTTTTAAGTGAGGTGGGGTTCGATTCCCCAGCGAAGTTGGCGACTGGTGTCCCTCGTTTGTTGCGATCCCAACCCTAAGGCCTGACACTCTAGCCATGGGTTGGATTAGACATGTAGGTCGGCAGGCATTGCACCGCCCTCTCGGGAGCCTGGCCGTCCAACTCAAACGTAAAAAAAAACTGTGCATGGCAAGAAAAACAGTCGCCATGTTTGACATGTTTCTCTTAAGGCTGCGGATCCGGTCCGGGTTTTGTCAATCGGACGCAATCCGATCCAGATTTTGTTAATACGGTCCAGGTTTTGTCAATCCGATCCGATCCGATCCGATCCGATCCGATCCGATCCTGGTTTTGTAAACGCCCTTGATGTTTGCATGTTTGTAGTAGATGATGTACTGACAAAACTAAAAAGTTTTTCGTTTAACAAAGAAAAAGCGTACATGGGGTCAGCATCGGTTTGTTTGTCATGCAGTAGATGACTGGAACGCTCTCCCAGACGGCATTAGGAACATTTCCGATTTTTCAGTTTTTAGACGTCTTGTTAAAAACATGTAGTCTCTTCTATTGATTATGCCCTTTTATCCTTTTCTTGATAACCATATTTATATTTTCTGTTATCCTTACATTAGATTTATGCAGGGCCTCACTGAAAACCACACTTTGTGACGTGGGCTCCCTGTCAAAAGATCTTACTTATTATTATTACTTGGTTTAAGAGGCTAAATTAAATTTATTTACTCTGGTATTCTTTCAATTGCTGTAAAATTTTTCAGTGCAACCCAAACTTGGAGTAGTATATTAAAACTTTGCTTTCATTCAGTAGCTCTGTTTAGGTGTGGGGGAATGTGTTGTTTTTGGCTGATGCTGGCTTTTTTAACTTCTGTATTTAAATCAGGGATTCCAAACACAAACAATACTTTTTTCCTCACAGAGGTGGGACTGTTATGTTTTCCTCAACCTGCATGGCTCAGCTACACTAATCAGATTAAGATATTAACAGTCAAAATGTTGTGTATTTTCAGATCCTACGGACCCATTAACCCAATTGTGGAGGCTAACTACAATTTCCTGAATAAGTTCTTTCAAGAGGTGGCAGAAAGATTTCCAGACAAGTATGTTCACCTGGGTGGTGATGAAGTACCCTTTGGGTGTTGGTGAGTATGAAATTCAAATTCTAATGAATAACTGTGAGAAGTTGACTGTACATAAAAACATGCATCCCTCATGTAAGAGGTTATTTTAACAAGTTATCACTATCCTCCCCCTCCACCCCCCAGTTTTGACAGTTTTGCTGGTGGTTTGCAGTTTTGATTGAATTTGTTTTTGCTATTTTGTAGGTGTGGTTTTTTTTTCTTTGTAGTTTGGCAGTTTCTTAAAGACCCCTATGTCCCCCTTTAGGTGCTTTTTTCTCCTGAATACCACCCTCCCCTCCCTTATAGCCTCAAGAAACTTGTTCTAAAAAAGAGAGTAATATCTCTATGTTGTCAAACTTTACATAGTTTACAACTACACATTTGAAAAATACATAAAAGATGGGGTCACGGTTACTGTTTTTGCCCAGTATGCCCACATTATCTTTTAACTTTAAAGCAGATCAGTTTATTTTTTTATGTCGTGCATTTGTTTTGTTACCAAATGAATTCACTCCACAAATATTAGAATGTAGCAAAGTGTTGTTAAATGGTGATAGCATTGAGGGACTTTGTGTTGATTGTCATCAAAGGCAAAGCAACCCTGAGATTACTGAGTGGATGACTAAAATGGGCTATGGCAAAAACTACTATTTACTGGAGCAATACTACGAACAGAAGTAAGAATTGTATTAAAAATTATTGAAATTTCATGCTCTAATTATTAATGATTATTAATGATAGTAACAAAAATAATGATGATGACAATCATTATGACAACAATATAACAATCCTAATCCTGATCACGACCACTAACATGGTTGTGATCACAATCATGATCACGACCACCATGATTACAATCATGACCACCACCACAATAACAAAACTTTCCTGATCACGACCAACACCACGATTTGCAGTAGTGATAACGCACACATGCATGAATGAATGGCTATGCTGTTGGTTTAAGTGAAATGAGAGGGTATTCCCCCTTTAAAAGTGATTAAAAAATGTAGGAAATGTACACAAATCCTGGCAAACGTTTGGAGAATTTGAAAGAAAAGACTTTGGGGAAAGAACAAACATTTAAATGAATTGAACTTAGACATGAAATTCTCCCATGATATCAGTTCAGGCCGGCTTCACTATCAGAGCAATAACAATTCGAAGCCCTGCATTTTTATAAATGGGAGTGCAGAATATCCTGTATTACCTGAGTGTTAGAGGAGCACATTTGATGTCACAGTTGACCTTCACTGCATTTTATCCTGTTTATTTTCAGGCTTCTGAAGATAGTAGGCAGTCTGGAGAAGGATTACATTGTCTGGCAAGAGGTGATCGACAATAACGTGCAAGTTCTGCCCAACACTGTAGTGAATGTGTGGAAAAGCAGTCCGTCTTGGCCATCTGAGATGGCCAAAGTGACAGGCAAAGGATTAAAGGCCATTCTGTCGTCCTGTTGGTACTTGAACTATATTTCATACGGAATAGACTGGCATAAGGTTTGTGTGATCTTTTCTACCAGGGCTAGACACTAACGGAAGCCAACTAGCCACAGACTAGTAGAAATTCAGTTTTGGCCAGTGGTTTTCAATTTCAACTAACCAGTTTGGCTAGTAAAGAAACTGAAATTGTCATGACATCTAAGTTGTCACTAGCTATAGCCACTTGGCTAGTAAGTTGAAAAGTTGGTGTTGAGCCCTATTTACTTTGGAGTTTGGGCTTTCTTAGCTTTTCAACTCTTAGAAATGGTTATATATCATGTAAGTTCTTCTTACAATATCAGTAACTGTACATTATATATCTTATAAGTGGTTATTATCAAGAAAAGTTATCAGCTAGAGTTTCTTGTTAATATTTAACACAATGACTATGGCTAAGTTATATGGAATTTATTCAAGGGATAGGGGGAGTTTGGGAGTTAATTCAGCTGCCCATTCTCTACTTTTTTCTACTTTTCTCTACTGTTTAAGTCTTTATTTTCACATTTTTTGCAACTTGAATCTATTTTGTGTAACTAGCAATTGTTGACTAAACCTGCCAGATATACATTAGAGTTAGTAAAGATGCAGTGCACTTCTAATCAACATCATATTTTCAGTCCACGCTACTACGTTTTTACTCACTGTCTTATAGCCAGCACTTTGTGTGTGGGCCAAGTATTACAGGGGGAAAAAACTTGGTCAACAATGGACCCAGAACTCGGTTACTTAATTAATATGTCCTGTTCAATGCTAGATAATGCATACAATTCTACTGTATAAAGGTTACTAGTAGCAAGATGTGATGTGACACATCTTTTATGATGTATCGTACCACATAATCATGGATCACTAATTGCTGTTCTTTACTAGTGAAAGTCGTCAGGTGATCTCTTATCAGGTGTAGATGTACCAATAGTTCTCATTTACCTTTTATTTTTGTTTTTTGTTTGTTTTTCAGTATTATCAGTGTGATCCTCAGAATTTTAAAGGTAAGCTTTGGTGATTTGTCCCTGATATTATAGGACAAAAATCTTGTGCCAAGCTCTTAACCAGATGCTTGATGAAACCAATCATGGCTTGGTTACATGGATTTCCAGCATTTGAAGCTAATGTTATTACTTGTGGTATTTTGCATTATTCCTACTGGCTGTCATGACCATGTTGGTTTTAGTTTTACAACAATTAATCCTGTGAAGATTATCATAGAATTACTGAACCAGGGTTTCAATTGTAGTCATCCTCTAGTAAAGAGTTGACTGAAAATTGTTTTCTTTCAGGCTTTCTCTGAAAAGTCAGCTGTACACTCCAGTGTTTTACACCTGTGATAGGGTGTTCTTTTTTTATAGAGGAGTACCAACATGTAGCAGTCCAGGAATTGGCATCAGGAAAACAAAAAGAAGGGGAATTTGAACTAGGAAATGTGGCTATTGCTGGTCAATTTTACTAACCTTTTTGTAGACCTCAATGAACAGTTGCATAAGGCTCTTCCTTTCCCTTCTGTTATTTTTTTTCTTTTTTCTTTTTTTTTTTTTTAGGGACTGAGGCACAGATGGAACTGGTTATGGGTGGGACTGGATGTATGTGGGGAGAATTTGTAGATGGAACAAATATCTTGCCAAGAACTTGGTAAGACATGGATGGATGGATGGATGGATGACCTTTATTAAACATGATAAAAATTTAAAGCTACAAGCTTGTGGGGTCATGACATCTTACGTGTTCTTCTTGCTCTGGATTAGATGTGTAG